CATTTGCAACTGCTTTCAGAACACGTGAAGGCTTAGTGTGCTCTGATGAACAAGTCTCCTAACACCTATTCCCCTTGGAATAAAAAGGAACTGAACAGCAGTTTTGATCCCTTCTAAGCTTCAGGGGAAAATATAGATTGTTCCTAAGATTACATGATACATTTAGCCTGGGTAGGATAGATAACGTGGTGTTCACCTTCCCAAGGAAGAAGACATTTTAGCTTTTTTTCATTTTTTTTTTTAAAGAAGAGAGCAAGTAATTATCAGTAATTCTACATCTAACTCTTCAAGCAGCCATTCTCAACAGTTAATCACTCCAGACTATGCAAAAATATCCCCAGGAACATCACAAAATAATCTTTAAAGTGTTTAATTTTAGCTTCCAGTTAAATTTTAAAATGAGCTAATTACATTAACTCTTATGTGATCCCTTTTGATATGGGCAAAACATAAAAATGGAAGCAGTCAAAGGTCTGGAAAGTTCAGGGTGCCTCCAATTTAACTGCCCAGCAGCCCAGCACTCTGGAACAATTATATTCCTCCCATGAGATATTGACTCTTCCTCCATTATGTTGCTCTCCCACACTTTGTTATCAAAGAGACCAGGGCCACTAATGAGAAAGGGAAAGGAATTCTCCCCAACATCAACATCCGATCAGCAGAAATAGCTCTGTCTTCACACTGAAACAATTCTCCATGGTCCTATTGTCCTTCCCCCCCCCTCCCCAAATGATGGAAAAATCTAATTCCAAAGAAATGTTAATGGCTTCATTATGTGACCATAAAGCGAACAAGTTATAATTCGAGAGTTTGAGGGCTAATCAAGTATTTTCAGAATAATATCTGATCTCTTGACAAATCTATTGTTATCAAGAGTCTAGCTATATAAGCAAAGCTCTCACGCAATGCAGAGCCAAAGGGCCAGGCCTAAAAAGATTGTGTTTGGAACATATTAGGTGTGACTCAGGGTTGGGATACTCAGGCTTAGCCTTGGAGCATGCAATTCACTACAGAGTGACCAACGGTCAAGCTTAAGAAGGGAAAAAGAAAACAGGTGGAACCATGGTGGGGACAAAATATAGGACAAGCTTTCAGAAAAGTCAGGCAAAGCCTGGAAGGGGTGTTAGAAGAATCTAGATTGTTGTCAATATGGTAGAGGAGTTGAGGAAGGAAACACTTGATACTGGGAAAGAATAAATATCTTCCGTTGACTGGATGTACACTGCGCATCACACTAGCAGCTTCTGTACTAGAGTATAAAGAAGATCTCTGGGGGCAGGGTGCCTGGGTAGGAGATAAGGTTTGGCAGAACGAGGCAGCTATGCAGGCTGGGCCATCAGACAAGAGAAGTCACTTCCTACATGGTTGGCAAGAAGGTTGTCACCTAATGTATGCAAGTTGATTTCTAATCTGTGAAAAAAAGCTCCTTATTCCACATGAGGCCCACATCAGTACTTTCTCCAGCAGTCTGACACAATGCCCTGACATCACCTTTGATGGGGACTGGGAGTGATGGGCCACTACTCCATAGTTAAACTGACCTGGCCCACTCTCCACCCAACTCTGGTGTGGGATTGCCTTATTTTGGAAAAATAATAATCCTCAAATGTCCCCAAAACTGGTATTTGGCCAAACTGGAAGATCCTTTTATATTTTTATACCCCCGAAATCGTGATCCTTCATTATACAATCACAATGGTCATCCTATAAATCTTAGCAAGCATCATTTAAAAAAAATCAAAAACGGGGGCTGGGGATGTGGCTCAAGCGGTAGCCTGGCATGCGTGCGGCCCAGGTTCGATCCTCAGCACCACATACAAACAAAGATGTTGTG